GCACTTGGTTGGTGCCCTGCCTGGACTTATTTGTGTTCTGTTGTATTTTGTTATGTTGTATTTTGTTATTTGATGTATTTGCTTTTGTGGGCCATGGCTGCATTGTTTGTTTGCTTAGAAAATTGTGTATATATGTATAGACTGTATGGCAGAAAACCCTGAGGGGGTGGACTGTAGGGTAAAGAAAATATCAGGCTTTTCTGCCCTTCCGCCATCAGGATAGATGATGGATCCTTGTCCTGAATGCATGCCTGATGGTGGGCACCTGGAATAGGGTGTGGGCATAGGTAGATGGGATTCAGCTGAGCTAAGACTGTGCTTTTAAGGGCGGCGTCACGGGGGGACGCCAGCAGCACCAGCACCAGCACCAGCAGCAGCCGCAGCCGAAGCCGAGAAGCAGCAGAACGAACGCTAGAGAGCCCAGATAGAGTGAGGACTTGCTGGGGGCTGGGAGGCCTGCCAGCCTCCCAGCCCCCCAGCCAGCACCCCTGCCTGCCATATGCCTGGTGAACCCCAAATAAAAAACCTGCAAAACTACTGAGGACTCTGACTCCTCCTTTACCCGATCTGCATGGGATCAGAAAACCTGCCTTGTGCCCTGTCCTGCCCCTTACAGTAAGGTAAAAGTATCAGGCTTTCTGCCCTCCCACCATTAGGATAGATGACGGAACCCTTGGGGTCCTGAATGCACGCCTGATGGTGGGCACCTGGAATAGGGTGTGGGCATATGTAGATGGGATTCACCTGGGCTAAGACTGGGCTTTTAAGAGTGGAGTGGCTTTTAACAGGGATGCCAGCAGGAGCAGAGAAGCTGAGAGAATGCCAGCGAGCACAGATAGAGTGAAGACTTGCTGTGGGCTGGGAGACCTGCCAGCCTCCCGGCCCCCCAGTACCCCTGCCTGCTGTATGCCTGGTAAATCCCAATAAAAACCTGCAAAAGCCACTAAGGGCTCCAGGACTCCTCCTTTATTTGGTCTGCTGGATCTGAAAACCTGCTCAGTGTCCTTCCTGCCCTTACAAGTGTAGGGTAAAGAAAATATCAGGCTTTTCTGCCCTCCCGCCATCAGGATAGATGATGGATCCTTGTCCTGAATGCATGCCTGATGGCGGGTACCTGGAATAGAGTGTGGGCATAGGTAGATGTGATTCACCTGGGCTAAGACTGGGCTTTTAAGGGCGGCGTCACGGGGACGCCAACAGCAGCAGCAGAAGCCGAAGAGAAGTCGAGATCACCAGAGAACCCAGATAGAGTGAAGACTTGCTGGGGGCTGGGAGGACTGCCAGCCTCCCAGCTCCCCAGCACCCCTGCCTGCCACGTACCTGCTGAACCCCAATAAAAACCTGCAAAACCACTGAGGACTCAGACTCCTCCTTTACCCAGTCTGCATGGGATCAGAGAACCTACACTGTGTCCGTTCCTGCCTCTTACACAAGGGTGGATAAGATGCACTACTGGGGTGTTGTGCAACCATCCCAGAGCAGAAAGGTTCACTCGATTCAGGCAGATGGATCAAGAGAGGCTGGATTCCCCGGCGGATTTTTACAGAACTTTAATGTTGAATCAGGGAACCAGGGAGGCCAGCAAGGGGGCAGGTAGACTCCCAGGCCCTGCAAATCTCCACGCTCTCTCCCTCACCTCTCTCTAGTGTCCCCCCTCCCAGTCTTGTGTGATCATCTCAGAGTGCCTCCTCACCCCTTCTTTTATTCCTCACCTCTAGGCACAGGAGTCTGCACTTACATATTTACAATCCCATGCTCTCTGGGTCCAGGTGTCCAAGATCATAGGCATGCGTGCCCTGCCACCCACACCTCTCAGACTTGGGCATCCGCACAGCCCAGGAAGCATGCAAGTCTGCAGGTGGTAGCCACAGAGGCTAGTGGCGGGAGGGTGGAAAAGCCTGATTTACTTCATTTACCCTACACAGGTTTTGGTTTTAAATTCTGAGCTGATTTTGAAAATGATCAGGTCTGAACTCCCAGTGGCGCCAATTAAGTTCAAGAGTAAAGCAGCATGAATTAAGTCTTGAAAACAGCTGTTTTGGAAAGTGAACCAATCAGGTTTTAAAGGCGGGTACCAGGAAGGGGGAATCTAAGGCTGGAGCTGCTTAGGAAGCCTTCAGCCAGCTTGAAAGCAAGGGATCGTCTGGGAGAGAGGCTGCTTGGGAAAGAGGCTGCTTTGGAAAGACTTCAGTGTGTTTGAGAGAGGCTGCCTGGGAAGACCTGAGTGAGTTGAAAAGGTTTCACTCAGCTTGGATGAAGCTTCAGGAGGCTTGGCTTCGCATTAAAAAGAGAAACTGCTATGGTATGGCCTCAGCAGTGCCACCTGTGACTACCACAGTCGCTGCAGGCTAGCTGGATCCTGGTCCACCACTTGCCTACTACCAGTCCCAGGCTCTCATGGAAGGAACAACACTGTTTTGCATGGGCAGCTTTGGTGTTGGACTAGTGGACACTGTGGACATTATCTGGGGTAGGACAGCTGGCTATTTTTGGCCTTAGGGACATTTTCCCTCTCCCCAATTTCCCCTTTGTAAATAAACCTATTGTTGCACCCTGAGACTGTGTGATTTTTCTTGCAATTGTCAATGCATGGCTGAGAACCCCACAAGCTATAAGCAGATCCTCCAACTCTGTTATACTTCGGTTTCAAATATTAATCTGTCAATATCTCTAGCTGTCAATAGCTCTCCTTTGAGCTCCAGGATCATACATTTAATAGTCTACCTGACACCTTCACTAGTTTATTTCAAAGTCAACACCACAAAGTCTAAAACTCAAATCAGTTTCTCCCCCTTAAACGTGTTCACCAGAATCTCCTATTTTTGAATGGCATCATTATCTACATGTATGTATGGGTTAGAGTTTTACAATTATCCTTCATATTTCCATCTCTCAGCATTCCTAAGCAATCTATTGCCAAGTCCTAATGATTTAATTCTTCAATGGCCAGCATTTGAGCCCAAGTTTTCTCTTTTCTCTTAAATTCTAAATGATTTTCACATATCTACCCTACTTCAATTTATTTTCCAAAAGGAATCTAGAAACTATTTAAAATGCAAAACCAGGGCCTCCCCCGTGGCGCAGCGGTTGAGCGCTGGGTTACGAAGCTGCCCGCAGCCTCTGCAGCATTGGTTCAATCCCCGGCTGCTCCCTGGCCACCGGAGGAGGGTCCCGCATGGCGCGCAGACCTCTCCTGCCGCCCGCTGCTCCCCTCAGCAGTGTACTTCGGTCCTTCTGCCTGCTCTGCTCCCCGCTCTGGCTCTGGTGAATTCTCTCACCCTCCCGCGCTTCTGACTGTACCCAGTGCATGTATGAATAAATAAATAAATAAATAAATAAATAAATAAATAAATGAAATAAATCTTTAAAAAATAAAATAAAATGCAAAACCAACCATGTCACTCTTCTCTTAAAACTCTTCAAAGATGTACCATTGCTTTAAAGTAAAAATAAAGTCATAACATTATTTAAATGCCTCCTACCCACTCTGGTTTCTTCTACTTTGATCTCTCCCTTGTTCTCTTCCTCAGTCCACTGGCTTGCTTTCAGGTCCTCAAGAGGTCAAACTCTTTTAGTTTTAATTTTTTAAAATTTTTTCAACATTATTCATTTTTAAACAATAATTGCTCCCCCCCCCAAGTTGTAGTCCCCATAGAATTTCCTTCCCCAATGCACCCATGCACCATCACCTCAGTCCCTTTTGCTCCTCCCCGCACCCTCTGATCCTTCTTCCTCCTCCTCCCCTGCAGGATGTCTCTGATTTATAATTGTCTGTTCTTGTTTTGTTGTGCTTTATACTGTTATTTTTTTTAATACTCATGTCATATTTGGTTCCCCTATATTCCTGCCATAAATAAAACCATAGATATTTTTCTTTTTTCTTCTGACATATCACTGAGCATAATTCCTTCTTGCTCCACTCACGTTGATGAAAGTGACATGAGTTTATCTTTTTTGATTGCTGATTAATATTCCATTGTTTATCTTGATCCATCTTCTTGCTCCAATTATTTACCCATGCATACCTTCTCTGAAACGCTCTGCTTTTTCTCTTCCATTAATTCACCCATTTAACTCCTACATAATGCTTCAGATCTCTAAGGCATTCTCTATAAATTATCTTCCTAATCTCTTCTTATACCTCCCTATATTTTTCTTTTAAAATCACTTATTAGAGTTTGCAATTATACTTTTGAATCATTAGGTGATATTTTCCCAGATATACGGGTATATGCACTATTTTTGAGGGTTACACACTGAATCTATCATTGGCATAAATTTTGAGATTGGTCCCACTGGATTTGGAATATTAACAATAAATTGATATCCACCACTTACATCAGGAAAAAAAACTAAGCACATCTTTCAAAGCTTACTAGAAATAAGAGTTCAAACCCATGTTTGCCTATTAACTTGATCCTACTAGCAAAATCAATTCATTCTGATTTTAAGTGCAACACCAAAATAATCCAGGATTGAAAACTACTAATTCAACGACTATGTACTGAGATATACTTACATGCCATATGACAGAGATTATACTCAGTACAAAGCACACAGAAGTGAACTTAATAATAGACTGGGTGTCTGCCCTCATCTTTGCCTTCTGAAAAATGTTTCTCAAGACATTTCATATAGGTTTATATATATACAACTTTACCTTAACCTTTATCTATAGTGACTATACAGGGAATACTCTGACTTAGTATTAATAAGACTTCAATTCTTCAATAGTTAAAAAAGGCACAAATAGAAAAATAATAATACCAATGACTATGTTAAAAGAAATGTCAACATTAAGATTATTAACCTTTAATTAATTCCTATTAATCAAAATCTTAAATTCTAAAAAGAACTCTAAGGAAAACACATATTGTTTTAATAAATACTCCACAAAATTTCCTGTCCAACAGGAAAATCTTCAATTAAGAAAGAAGATTGGACCTCCAGGAAGATCTAAGTAGCTTTCACATTTTGGGTTCAGTAATGTTTGTACTTACTTTGAGGTTCCCTTGGGCAGTGTTCACAGGCCGGCCATCTTTTAACCATGTAATGGATGGATTTGGGATGCCATTGGCTATACATTGCAAGGTGATTGACTTGTACTTCACCACAGCTCTCTCAGAAAGGCCTGAGGATTTGATTGTAGGAGGAACTAGATTTAAGAAAAGTTATGAAGAAGGGAGGGAGGAAGAGGAGGAGAAACATAATCAGTGGAATCAAACACTTAAAAATCTGTAAGAATCTCAAACTGTAAAACTGAAAAAGGGGCAAATGCTTAATTTATCAAACAGTGATACAATTTCATTCCATGCATTTAATAATTTTCAGCAATTTTTAGAAATTACTTATTTCTTCATTATGGATTTCTATATCCAAAGAATAAGTAAAATGTATGTATAGCCACAGCAACCCACATGCATGTGGATTACACCTTGTGACTTTTGATGCATTTTCCCAATCAATCATGGGTCTCGCATTCTCTAGGAATACTTCATTAAGTCAGGGTGGGTGCCCAGTAGCGATATTTAAACTGCATGCCTGTCCCCCTCAGTGAGACTGATTGAACTCAGGATGGCAAACTGATTTAACCTGGACTTGGGCAAAATCCCTTCCTTAAGGAATTGGAATTGAGACTGAGAATAGAATTAGCTATATTCCATGACAGAAATGAAAAGGCAGGAAAATTGCACACACAGAGGGAAAAAAGGAAGTTGATATTCATGGAAACCTGCTTGAGATTTCCAAATGGCTCTTCAGTACCCCTTCTAGTCCTTTCCTTCCTGAAGCTGACTGGCAAATGAGACATGTAACACCTGGGAGAGAGCTCTGTCTAACCTATCTGTGACACTACAATACATGCATTTATGTGTCCTGGATCCCATATAACATTCTCAGCCTCCATTTCTGGAAATAACTTTATTCACACCCACTCTTGTTTTCACTAAACCCTCCATTCCGATACAACCTCTCTACTTGGAATTTGCTGTCTGCCTCTTTCATTTCATTCTTCACACCTGGGCATTTTATGCAGCATACATTTCCTAATGTTTACATTCTGTCTAAATTTGTTTTCATGGCAATTATTGGCTAAATCTCTGTCAGTAAACTGCCTTAAGATCTGCTGTTTTTAATTCAAATTAGTATCCTCCACATTGCTTTCCACAATGCAAGCTTTATCTAGATGCTAAGGTACAATTTGAATTAGATAATGAATCAATGCATAAATTTTCAGTGTAATGCTCCTGTTACTGCTTCAGCATACCATGCACAGTTACTTCAAATTCCTTCTTGTGGTCTCCAGCTGTATTTGTTGCCACACACTGATAGAGGCCTGTATCAGACACCTGAGCCTGGGCAATTACTAGTTTTCGCCCATTTAGTAAAATCTTGAATCCATCTCTTCCATCGATTAGCTGACCATCCTTCAGCCACCTATAAAAACAAGGCAAATGGAGTTGAGGTGTGTTGTTCTGAATTATATTCCTAGAAGATATATCTCAGAGGAGATAATTTATTTATATATTAGATTCATATACATAAATTTTCCATCGTGTGTGCCTGACTTCCACTTTTTTACTCTATAAAATGAATTGTAAAAAGGAAACCTGGTCTAACACAGAAATTGGCATATTATTGGAACCTAGTAAGTTTGGATGGAGTTCTTCATTCATCTATTAAAGTTAGGCTACAAAAAGAAGCAAGTCACCCTAAATACTATGGACTTCAAATGTCTCAGTATTAACCGAGAAATGAACATAATCCTGAAACATCTGTAAATTAAAACCTTGAAATCATATAATACTGTATTTTTTCATATCATATGTTTCCCTTTCATTTAATTTTTTAATCATGTGTGAACTTATTTTATTACTTTAGCTGACTGTTCCTTTGCATAAACCATAGCACATTGGGAAATGAAAGATAAATATTTCAGAAAAATTTTGTGAATGAAGAAGTGAGAACAAAATTGGCAAACATATGCGGGTTAACTTCCTCTACTTCCTTAATGTATTTGATACATTTCCTTTTTCACTTATGAAATATTTTAGTGACTCCGGAAGATCTGCAGATACTGTGTAGTTGTTCATATGAACTGAAAATGTAATTTCTAACAATATAAATGGAATTTATCTATCTGAGAAAATTAAGACATGCTGTGAGTGTGAAGTGAAAGTTGCCTTATATATAGAGTCTGTCTTTTTAAAAGAGGAATATAAAACATAATTTTATTTGATTTTTAATGACATAAGACCTGTTTCAAGATAGCTAAAAAATCCTCAAATAAAGAAGTGAGATGCATTTGGAAGACATACCAAAACCCTTACATGATAGATGGTGGAGGAGAGCCTGTCACTGGACATTCTAGTTCCAGTAAGTTATTCACCATCACAATGAAGTAAGATGTTTCATCACCTCCTTCTATAGCTGGCGGCACTGGAAAACAACAGAGTTTAACATACAGAGAAATGGATTCAAGAAAATATGCATCATCACTTTAAGAAAAACTAAGCTATAGTTTAGGAGGCTGATAAGCAGCATAGTGATTCAATACATGAAGGGAATTTGAAATGCCTTTTTTTTTTTAGATTTTTTTTAACATTTATCATTTTTAACATTTTTTAGACAATATTTGCTTCCCCCCAACCCCTCAGATTGAGTTCCCATAGAATTTCCTTCCCCAAGGCACCCATGCACCATCACCACGGTCCACTGTGAAATGCCTTTTGAAATAAATTTTACACTAAACACCAGGATGCACTCTGACATTGAGGGGGTTTCCCTCAATCTAGCAGTATGGTGCTGCTATGTCACATGAATTTAAAGTTGATTGATATTTTATATTGTTTCTTTTCATAAGATGAAAAGAAGGGAACCTTAAAAGCCTTCAATTTATAAAGAAATATAGTCAGGATTGCAAGCTGAACTCCCAAGACAGAGACTTAAAAGCTTCATGTTGTCACTCTCTGCAATCAGATATTGTCACAGATTAACAAATGCATCTATACACTTACAAAGTATTCCTATCACAATCATTGAAAGATAGTTGCATTTTTAGATTTATGTAGGTTTCAGTGGTGATAAATCTACCACTCAGTAATATATAGTCTGCAGTTAGACTATAGACTAAGACTTTCACTATTCCATGAACAAAAAAGTATTTAATAAACTTTTCTATTAATAAATATTTGAATAAAGCTTATGCTATGAAACTGACAATCTGGGCGGTGACATCCTTATTTACCTAGAACATCAACTTCGTATTTGATTTCCTTTTCCCCTGCCACGCTGGTTGCCACACACACATACTGCCCACGATCAGATTCGAGGGCACTAGTGATCTCTAATTTCTTCCCACCAGCTTCAATATGAATGTTGTCACTTGCTTTCACAGGGACACCATCTTTTAACCAGGTGAGAACTGGAGGAGGGTTGCCAGCAGCTTTACACTCCAGTGTCAGCGAATGAGCAATAACCACTTGCTTATTCAGAGGTACAGCCAAGTTGCCATCAATCATTGGAGGAACTAGGTTAAAAAAAAGTGGTATTTCAGGTAATGCATTGAAGTTGTAATGAAATAAAGGGGATTTCTTCCCTTCATGTCATTTGACCATAAAAATTATCTACATAGTTAAAGAAAGTATTTCCTGGTTCAGGTGACCAACAATATCCTACATAGTGTGAGGCACTCTGTGCTGTGTCTGGCTTGTAAAGAAAGATATTTGTACTAATAACTATAGTTGATCCTCCATATCCATTGGTTCCACATCCATGGATTCTATCAACCTCAGATGGAAAATCCATACTATATAGTTAGATCAATGATACTTGTCATTTGTACTGAACTTGTACCAACTTTTTTTGTCATTACTGCCTAAACAATACAGCATAACAACTATCTACACAGCCTTCATATTGTATTAGATATTGTAAATAATCTAGAGATAATTTAAAATACACAGGAGCATGTGCATAGGTTCTATGGAAGTACTAGGCCATTCTATGTAAGGAACTTGAGCATCTGAGGATTTTTGGCATCCTTGGGGGTCTCTGGGGCTACCAAGGAAGAGTGTTTACTTTATCTTTTCCATAAAAACTAAATGGTCTAGATATCCCAGATGCCCCAGGCAATCACTGGCTAAATGAAAGGTCCACTTCCTGCAAATCTTAGCTTTTAATTTTTTTTTCCAAATCATAGGACAAATACTGAAAATAACCAAACTCACTAGTGAACAAGCTGTGTGTTAGCATACTGGGAAGTTCACACAAAAAGTTATACAATTAAAGCACGGATTTTTTTTCCTTACCATAAACATCCACATGGAACGATTTTTCAGCAGTCCCAGCAACATTTGTCACATGGCACTTATATGTCCCTGAATCAGAGACCTGTGCCCTGGCGATATGAAGAAACTGTCCTTTGTCAATATAAAGTGTCTGTGAGCTGGATATGACTGGCCGACCGTCTTTATACCAAGTAATAGTAGGAATCGGAAGTCCCCGAGTCTCGCATTCCAGTTTAATCATGCTGTTGATCAACACTGACATTTCTGTGGTGACATTCCCTCCTTTAATACTAGGTGGAACTACAAAGGAACAAGTCTTGTCAGTTTGAGCATCTTCATCAAAATCTTAAATGCTATGCACATTAAATAATGCATTTAAGTAAATCTGACATAAAGATAATTAGGAGGCCTGTGGAGCTATCTACTAAGGATTAGTTGTCTGTCTTATGCAAACAATCTTTATCACTTTCCTTTAAGTTTCAGATTTTACTATAAGCAGAAAGTCACTCACAGCTTTAATTTCAGGGGTTCCTTTAAGTCCAATAGATCATATTATAATAATGAAGAAAGTTACGTTTTACATACAAAGCAAAGCAAAATAAAACTATACTTTCCCTCAGCAGTGTATTTCAGTACATCTGGCTGTTCTGCTTTCCACTCTGTCTCTGGTGAGTCCTCTCACCCCCTGCACCTCTAGCCTACACCACAGTTCTTATATGCATTAAAAAAAAAAAAAACACAGTTACAAAACTCCACTTAATGTAGATATAAGTAGATATAAATAAAAATGTACAATCTGTTACAATAGTATGTGCTCTCCTTCCCACAATTAAAGGTCTGAGTGCTTTCAGAACTAGTTGATCATAACTGGTGAGTCTTTAATTTTGTTTCTTACCTTTTTTTTGGGGGGGGGAGTGTGTGCCAAGAATTCATCCACTCAACTTAACTCATCTAATTGTCTACATGTGTATCTTCCACAATTCAGCAACCGCATGCCTGGCCTCACACACCACATGAGGACTGTGCCTTTGGAAAAACAACCTAAGCGGCTCAGTCCCTGCTATGGATTCTGAGCAGTCATTCCAAATTGTGCTATAATTGCAAGAATATGAAAGAAATCAAGTAGCAAGTGCCTGAATTTGAACTCCTTCACATTACTTATAAACTTTTCCCATAGAGTAGAATATTTTGTACAAATTTTTCTTACAGTAAGACAAGGGTTGTGGGTTTTGAAAGAAAGACCAGAGATACAAAATGCTATTTTCACCACTTCATATCCAGAGCGCATACACATAACATGACTTATCACTGATAATATTAACCTGGTCTAGGTAGTTTTAGCCAGGTTTCTCCACTGTAAAGTTACTCTCTTTTCCTTTTCTTTTGAAAGGAATCATTCTTCCCAGTCCAAATGTATGGGGTAGGGATTTATGCTTTACTTCTTTGAAAGGGAAATATCTACCTAATTTATTGGTATTTTTCCATATGGGAGATTTGTCATTCCTCTCCAATTTATTTATTTACTCAGTCATTTATTTCTATCAATATGGATACATGGAAACTTATTCCATACTTTGAGTTAGAATCAAGTACTACACTATCTACTACTATATATATTTTGTTGCTTGAATGATTCCAGTTTGAGCCATTGGAGCTATTTCAGTTTGTTCTTAAATCCTTGTGTCATACCATTGTCATTTTATTATTTTAGTACTTTTTTACTTTCTGGCCCTAATACATGCTCCAGATTCAGCTTATATAATCCCTCCCCCAAAAGCAACCATTTCAAGAAGGATTGATTTTAGTGGAGAAGGATATTAGAAAACAAGGTCTGGGGGCTGAGTGCAGTGCTGTACCTTGATATTTTCTTATATTCATTCTTAGAGTTAGTTCAGAGTGACAAATGTTTATACATCTTTTCTCACGCATAATTTAAAGCATGATCTACTATATTTTGAGATGAATTTAATGGTGGAATAATTTTCTTATTTAGATCAGGGCAGAAAACTATGGCCTATAGACCAGGCATGGAGATAATGAGTTAAGAATGGTTTTTATATTTCTAAATAGTGGGAATCAATCAAAGTAATAATACTATATGGTGACATGTAAAAGTTATATGAAACTTAGTGTTCATGAAAAGTTATATGAACTTAAGTGTTCATAAATAGTTTTAATGGGATGCAGTCATGATCATTTGTTTACATATTGTCTGTGGCTACTGTCACACTATAATGGCCAAGTTAAGCAGATGCACTTATTACCAAACTTGGCTTTCTTGGGGCTTTTCACTGCTGCTCTGCTCACCAAAAATTTAAGTGATACAGTTTTAACTTAACAGTATTCAAATGCCACATGTATCACTAAACCACAATTTTTTTTTTTTTTACCACCAGTGTATATTCCTTGTGTTGAAATAAGAAAAGAAAATTAGACATTAAAATGTCACATTTTCAAAGCCCACCATAGTGTGGATTACTTTGTTATCAAATTAAATAACAAATCTTTGTGTTTATTTTGGATTAACACCATAGCTGCTCTGAAAGATGATAGTCTACACCACTCATTACAATATCCCCATTCAAAGCAAAACAACAGAGAAATAGCAAATGCAAATTGAATGTCTCATCATAATAGAATTTCCTCACAAAGATAAAAATTCAAAATGAGGTTACAATCAAAGCAAGTTTCTAAGAGGCTCATTTGTTAACTAAGTAAGAAAAGCCACTTACCAATGATAATTTAATTAAATCAGGGGAGATGGTAGGAGCCAAAGAAAAGTATCCAGAAAAACCAATTTGTTTAAGAAATGCACATTTCCATGAGAAATAATTGCTTAACAAGTTGAGAATTCTGTGAGCAACATTAAGTTACTTTTTTTTTTTTTCCCAAAAGGCACTTTTCTGAATAGTATTCTTGGCTCCTGACTTGTTGACAGATATTAGTGATAAATTTTTTTGTTTATTTGAAAAATCAGTGCTACATTTGCAAAAACCGAAGAATTAGTCTGTCAAATTATTCTGCCTAGAGCAACCACAGACAAAATATTTTCAAATAAGTTGAAAAAACACGAATCCATTACAACCTGAAATGGAATCTGCTATGATATACTATAGCTGATAGGTAGGGAAAGGAAAAGGTATTGATAAATTTACGAATTAAAAGTTTATCCTTATTCTGGTATTATTCATCAGCACCTAGAGTCATATATTCATGTGCTATTGAATCAGTATTGTCCAGGGTATATTTTGTTTGCTCTTAATGGACTTAAATGTCATCAGTTCCATGAATATTTGCCAGAGGTGGAAATTAAGTATAATGACTTATCCTACCATATAGCAGTTGAATGCCTTAATGGTGGTAAAGGTATATTGCAATTTTTTGACTTTAGAACTGGGATTGAATTTTTCAAAAACTGTTATTGAATACTGTATGAATTTGCAAATTAAATTTGTCATAAATTTCAAAATATTTGCTAATGAATTCACAAAATAAAACAAAAAATTTGTAGTCAAAACCAGCACTTAAATGCAAAGCTTATACTGTGGTATAAGATCTCGATTCTCCCACAAATTTGTCGTGGATATATTTTCTGAGCTCAAGTTTCAGCCACTTAATGTTTTTAGATTTTGATGTAAATACAAAAGAAAGTTTCACATTTGAAAGTCTATTCAACTCTGAAAATGAGGTCTTTCTATCTAATCTTCCATTGGAATTGATTAATCAACAATAGAATGAATGTCATGCTAAAAGTCAAATATCAAGAGACTATAGCAGAATTCTGAAGTGTCTAGTAAGCAATGAATATGCACAAATAAAAGCATAGTTCATAGACTGATATCAAAATTTGACAGCACCTATCTATGAATACATTCAAAGATGAAAAACAAAAAATCTCATTGCAGATCAGCATTAGTAGAGGAATATTTGCAAACAGCTTTGATGACAACAATACTACCTTCAAATGACCATTTAATGAGAAGTTGTCTCTTCCAAATGAACTCCATTCTTCTCATCAGCAGACTTATATTACAAAAAAAAAAAAAAAAAAAAAAAAAACCCAAAAAACCCTCAGACTTGTATTACCAAAAGAAAAGAATTTCATCAACAATTTTAAAAATGTCTTTCTATTTTTTTTTTTTTATGTAGGGATCTATTACAATAAACTTCATTTTACCATATGGTCTGCAAAATCTAAAATAGTTCATATTTTGTCTTTTAAAAATGGTCTGCAAAGTCCTGCTATAAGTGGTTAATTAATATAAATTCAATGATCATTTTGAAAATTTAAGAGCACTTTATTCAAACTATAAATTGTAATTTTCACTTGAGACTCCCATTGAAAAAGGAGCAACTCTGAGCCAGTGGGTGACTCTCATAGCCAACCCCATGGCAAAAGGAACATCTGTCTGGACTAACCTTGACTTCCTGAATGAGCTGCTGAGAATAAGGGAAGGAGAAGAGCCACCAAGGGGATTTTAAAAAGGAGCAGAGGTTGGCCGCTCTCTTTTTAATTGGCCTTCATTGCCCCCTGGTCTCTGCTCAGCTGATGCCATCTTTAGGTGGACAGATAGCATCCAGCTGCATGCCTGCTCTAAATTTTAATGGACTTAAATGTCATCAGTTCATGAATATTTGCCAGATGTGGAAATTAAATACAATGACTTATCCTACCATATAGCAGTCCTCTCCTTCCTGCCTTTCCCCCATTCAACACTTAAGCAAATGCTTTCAAATCTTATTATTGTTTCTCTCTGTATGTCTGCTTTGGGTCTTGTCCTGTATTCTTAAGTGTACGGGTAAGGATTCACAAACTGGGTCATTCCCATTTCCCCCTGGAGTTGCCCTGCTATATTACATCATAGGTTAATCTGTAAACATATGTCACTTTTTGTCTCAATTTCCCTAAATCAGATGACTAGCCTAACTAATTAGATGATGCATACTGTTCAAACAACTCCTATGCTCCATGAATATTTTACAAAGGAATTATTATCTGTAATAATTGAAAATATTAAATAACTGAAAATAACAAAAATTATTTTTATGAAAATATGAGAAAAAGTGCTTAAAGAACCTTTCCATTTGACAGCAGATGACATCACCTATCACTTAAGGCTGTCAAATAAATAAACGTCACTTCCTTTTTTTTAATTTATATATATATTTTCTGAGATGCTTCTGTTTGAAGAAGGGTGCTACAGATAAAGGTTATGAACACCCTGCATATTACAGTGTAATATATACTCAAAGATTTTTGTACAATTTGGGGACGCTCTCAGATTCTGAAACACATCCAT